TCCTTGCACTGCCCCTTCCCCCTGAACCCCTACTCTCACGCCCCCTCTTCTGCTGAGCCCCCCCCTCGCTCCTCCCTGTCCCTTCCCTCTTGTCGCTCGCCCTTATGGCTGGTAAAAAGTGAGGGGGCCATGCCCCCTTCCCCTGTTCTGGTGCCCTGATCTGGGGTGAGTTGCTTGCTCTGCCATAGACACCCTGTGCAGTCTTGGGCAAGTCACTTACTCTCTCTGTGCGCTGGGGCCGAGACGGAGGTGACTAGGTCTAGCGATTGGAGCAGGAGTCAGAGTTGGAAGTTGGGCCACGGGTCAGAGCTGGAGTCAGAGTGTCAGGTCTAGAATTGGGGTTAGAGCCGAAGTCAGAGAGTCGTGCCATGGGTTGGAACCAGATTCAGAAACCAGAGGCGAGGATCAGAATCAGGGCAGTAACCAGGAGCAGGTCATGAAAGCCGTATCCAGGGCTTTGTCTACATGACACCGCTTTTTAGTGACAGGGCTGTGTTGCCACAGCCATGCTGCTAAAAGTCGTGTAGTGTAGCTGCTGTTTGTCGGCTCTCCTGCCAACAAAAAACTTCCACCAATGAGTGGGGTTAGCTTCTCCTGCCGACAACGTGCTGTTCACACTGGCACGTGTCTCAGCAAAACTTTTGTCTTTTGGGGGGCGGGTGTAAAACACCTCTGAAAGACAAAAGTTTGGTCGTTTAATTGCCAGTGTAGACATAGCCCAGGAGTCAAGCAAGAAGGTGGGGCCCAACATAGCAGCCGGGTAGAGCCCAGTTGTGCAGACAACTTCCTGTGCCCCTCTTTGGGCCTAGTGCAATGGGATTGCGGTTTGATTGGGTTCTGTAAGTTATACCCTAATTAATAAAAGCTAACACCATCCGCTAGAGTTGGGTGGATGTTACAAGCTCAGTTCCAAAATAGTATTGGATCCAGTACGGTTTATTTCTTTACCCATGTTGCTGTGCACTATGAACAGCTGCTAAGCGTTACCCTGCAGGTGGCTTCATTTCAGTTGATGAAAGGCTCTGAGAACTTCTGCTGAGAAAGACATTATGGGTAAAACTTTCCAAAGCACTTGAATGACTTATTTCAGAATAGCAGCCGTTTTAGTCTGTATCCGCAAAAAGAAGAACAGGAGTACTTGTGGCACCTTAGAGACTAACAAATTTATTAGAGCATAAGCTTTCGTGGACTACAGCCCACTTCTTCGGATACAGAAGTGGGCTGTAG